CACACACACACACACACACACACACACACACACACACACACACACACAAACTTATAGCAGAAAAGAAACTTGTATTCTTGGGCTCACCCTGTTCTGGAACATCATACTCTCTCTAAATAGAGATGGAAATAATGTGGGAATTCTGGCTTCAGGCAGTTCTACCGATTCTTTGCCTGTTAGGAACTCAATAGTTTCTTCTCCACCCACTTTAGGACCTGAACTTCCAACCATTCGTAATAAAACAGCATGTACCTGAAATATCACCTTTCACTGTTCTGTCACTGGTACCTCAGGGTAAGAACACATAATTGAGAAAATGCACCAGCTAGAAGTTTCCGTGAGCAATTTACTTTTGTTATGGAAAGCAGAGAGCACAGAGAATAGACTCCAGACATTCTGAATTGAGATCATCCATAAGGGATTTATTGGACTGGCTTACTGGTTGGTTAGTCCAACGATGGCTATCTACCAATGCAAAGTCCAAGAATCTTGTAGTTGCTCAGTCCATAAGGATAGGCATCTCAGCTGGTCTTCAGTATATGCAGGAATTCCAACAAAGTAGACTCTAATTCCAGTGAAGGAATGAACTTGCCAGTGAGATCCAGATCAAGCAGGCAAAGAGCAAAAATTTTTCTTCTTCCATGTCCTTTATATAGGCTTCCACCAGAAGGTGTGGGCCAGATTGAAGATGAATCTTCCCACCTTAAAAGATCCAAATTAAAAGTGGGTCTTCCCACTTCAAATTATTTAATTAAGAAAAAAATCCCTCTCAGGTGCACCTAGACACTTGGGTTTTAGTTAATTCTAGATGTAGTCAAGTTGACATGCAAGAATAGCCATCCCAGATTTCAAAATTTGGAATCCCGGCAAGGTTGCCAGTCTTAGCTGTAATGTGCATCTCAGGGCAGACTTACTTTTGACATATACAGAAAGTTTTCAGTGTTCAAAAGCAGTCACAAGAAGATGATAAGCAGTGACTAAAGAGTAATTTCAAGACAAGAAGAGCACTGTGGGTAGATTTGCCATTTTAAAGTTGATACAAATGGCTGTCAGAGTCATAACTGCCCAGAAAACTCCTTGAGTGAGCAGATCAAAGTAATGTCTGTTTTCCACTGTCCATCACTGTATGTATGCATATGTGTGTGTGTGTGTGTGTGTGTGTGTGTGTGTGTGTGTGTGTACAAGGAGCACAGCAGAGATGAGAGGACAGAGGAAAGACACATTTGATCACTATGTCTTTGGACATTGGATTTCCACCAAGGCTCACAAATGAGCTGCATTGCTTGGGTGGATGCTAGGTGGAAATCTGGCCTGCCCCTGGGAGCTTTTACCTCTCCTTTATTCTCATAGACCCTGCTTTGCTAGAGGGATAGGGAAGCATGGCTACATACTTCTCCCAATAATGAACTCTTTGAAGATAGATTCAGTATTCTATGTTGGCCAATTTGAGCTTATGACTCAACATAGCTTATCAAATTCTACTTCATCTACTAAGAGTGTAACTCAACCATTTATAACACACCACACTCTATCTCCCAGACAATTTTAGCTGCCTCTTGGACAATGCTCCTTGTCAAAAGTCTCCATCCTCAATCAACCTGCTGAAAAATTAAGGTTCCCAGTGTTGGCATTGTGCATTTCAGATGTTTTCACTGTCTCTTTAAGAAACCTGCATCCCCGAACTCCCCATAGGACCATGAGAATCTTGGCCACTTTAAGAATCTCTATAGATTAAAAAAAAATTGTAAAGCTTTATGTATTTCCTTGTGCCTCTCTTCTGGCACTGGGCAAACTTCATTCACATCCACGTTGTCTACTTCTAGCTGCCATGAAAGCAGAGTTGTTTATCATCTCATCAGTAACAACCTTTCACACACTTTTGAGGTACTGTGGTGACAGTCTCTGTGGTGTTCTATAATTTATGAGAATCTTGACTAAGTCAAGGGCTTTTGCAAGGAAGAGCATCCAGTGTTTACCAAAGGCACTCAGAGATGTGGGAACCAAAAGGTATGTCATGATTCTTGTTTTCAGGAGCCTTTATGTTTTGTTCTGTCAACAACGTATAAATACACTTACATCAGGACTGAACACCACGTGCTCCTTAATCCTAACTTAGAAACCAAAGACATCAAGAAGCCTTGCCATACAGCTTCTGGGGGTGAAGGTACTGTTTCTGATGAACACTTGAAAGTGGACTGTGGCAGAATTCCAGGAACTGGGTTATATTTTTGATCTAGATTCTTGTGCTTTAATTAGACAACGTGATGGACACAGCTAGGCCACACCCACTCCCATGTAAGCACCCCGGGGGATGTGGGGGTGGGGTGTTGTCTGTTGAGTTCACCCATGAGCTCAGTGCCTACAACATTGGCACAGCAACAGTACCCCCATGACTAGCTATCAGAGGAAGGCCTGGAAGGGAGAAAGTCAGATGTTTATTCCATGAGACTGTTGATTGTCTGCTTCAGTTCTCTTTTTTCTTACAAAAAACCCTACAAACAATGATAACCCCCCAAAAATAAAACAAAAAAAATCCAAAGCCTTTGTTTTATCATATAATTTTATAAAAAAAAAAAAAAAGATCAAAGCAGCCCCATTTCCCCTGAAAGACATTCCCTGCTATTACCCCTTTTTGTTTCCTGTTTGGGAAGTGTTTTGTCTTCACATTAAGGTATTTTACCCCCTACCATAATTTCTTACCTAGGGCAAGCACCTTTAATGAGCAACCAAATGCTTTTTGAAATTTTAATGAATATAATCTTAGGTTTTCTCTCCCTTTTGTCTCCTGCAACAGTAGTTCCTCTAAAAATAAAAATAAAAAAAGAAAAGAAAGAAAGAAAAACAGGAAGGAAAAAAACCCAACAAAATAAACAAACAGCAACAACAAAACCCCCAAGAAGATCAAGTTCTCTGTGGCTAGACCTGTACTGTACGGCCCTCACACATCTGCCCTGACTACATTTTATCAGGTTCCACTCCCTCTGAGCCTTTTGCAATGTCACAGTCCTGGTGGCTGCCAGCATTTCCCTAGCCAATCTGATACGCATGCTCTTTTAATTCTAACGGTTTGCTAATGAAATGTGTTGGGCTCAGCACTCACTCAATTCTTGGCCTTTCTAGCTGTCTCTGTCATTGGCCGTGAGGCTGATTGTGAGAACCTAGCCCTGGGATATGAAGCCATGGGCAAGATGTCTCTCTTGAATAGAGTGATGAGCTTTGCCAGAATGACCTGATTTTGCTCCATTCCCAAGAGTAAGAATTGGGAATCGGTTTGGATGAGAATCTAGGAATTGTGGGGTGGCTCGACCTAGAATTTGCAATGTATCACTATCTTTCCCTTTCTCCTCCACTCTTTCAGGCTCTTCTGTCTCCTCACCTCCATTGTCCACATTTCCAGAGACTAGAGTAATAATTCTCATCCTGATGGAAAACCAGGCGGTGTTTCAGAGCCAGGAAGATCTGGTTTTGAACACATCACTTCACCTCTAGAAGACTCCATTTCCTCACAAATAGAGGTGATAATACTTTCTCGAAAGGACGATGAAAAGGACATGAAATAGCGATTAGAAACGGCTGGACATGTTGGCAACATTATTAAGAATAGCATTACTGCCTCCTCTTCTATTCAAGTTCAAGTCCTCCATGAATAACAGCAGCATCTATGTATAAAGCCACTATTATGTGCCCTCTGCTTTGTGTATTCTGAGTCCCAACTGCCACTGTGTCTTTCTATACTTCTTTCTTCAGCTCTTCTTGGATCTGCCTTTTCTCCATTATTTTCTTCTGAAAACAACAACAACAAAACCCACCTTCCTTCAGATGTACATATTGAAAAAACGTACTAACAAAGCAGATAGCTGCACCTGCTCAGGCTGAGCCCACTTACCCAGTGCTTGCTTTGATCCAAGGAACTGCTCCCGTCTGCACTGTGGTTCAGCGTCCCTCAGCTGCAGCTGCCCTGCTGCATCATGTGTGGAGCCTCCCACTGCCTCCATGCCAGGCTGAAGGAACACTCCTTTGGGAGTGGAACTAGGAAAGCCTGGAGAATCACCTGAGGGGCTTATTTGAATGCATGTTCTGTCGCCTCACAAGTCAGCGGAAGTGACAGCTGCAGAGGGAAGGGGACACCGTGACCAGCAAATCCAAGTTGGCCTCACACCCTTCCCCGCCTTGCTGCTACTCAGTATCTCCCTACTAACTCAGCTGTGGACTCTCTTGGTGACATTTCTGCTCCTGTCAACAGTGTCTGAACCTTAGGTCCCAAAGGAAGGACAGATATGACTCTGGGAAGAAAAAGAGGGTAGCTCCCATGTCACCAAGCCAAAGATTTTGGTTAGGAAATTTATATAAAACCAAGAGCTTGTAGATCCAGGATAGACCAACATCAAATGCTTGGAGTCATCTTAAAATAGGAACGTTTCTCAGTCCAGCTTTGTCCTAAGTTATGGCCATTCGTTATGGGGCCCTTAAAAATAGCCCATGAGGGAGCAGTGAATTCTAATTCTGTAGCTGTCACTTTCCTGCAGCAATCGATGCCAGAAGATTGCCCTTTGTGTGACCTCTAAACTGAAGTCAGCAGTAACCCCTAACCCTCCTGCTCTGGGACTCTATGTTCAATTCATGGGCCTCCTATATGGGCACATCTGTTTGCAGACTTTTTGAGTCATTTAAATCCTTCTGTAGGAAACAAAACTATTTCCAATCCCCAGGAAAATGCTGGAAAAATGGGATGTTCTCCTACACGGTTTCCTCATTTATAATGTGAAGAGGCTAGAGTCAGCTGTCCTCTGAGTGCCTCCACCAAATGCATCTTTGTGTATTTTGAACTGAGATCAGGCATCTTGCAAAGGCTTCGAAAACCAAAACTCTAAGGGCACTCAGACTTTCCCAAATGCACAAAGCTGGACTCTCTTCTCTCTCAAGTCACTCCTCTCCCTAAAGATGACAGAAAGGACTTGTAGGTATACAACAGGTTCTGGCGCATCACAGCTGGATGCTAGGGAATCCTAGTAAACGGGTAATTCTGGCAGAAGGAAGCTTGATTCTGGTCCTAATTATACCTTAGATATGTCCAGGAGGAACAAAGTTAGGTTTTTAATAAGTGAAATGATTTTCTTGTAGTCAACTCCCCACCTCAAAAGCTAATAAATTCAATCAGGTAAAGCTAAAAATAAAAACAAGCATATGTCTTTAAAAAAAAAATAAAAACTGACTTACTCACCCATCTACTCAATCAACCAACCAATCAATTAAATTTCTAAAAAAATTCATGTTATGTATCATCTCTTCTCCCTGTTGGCCCCTCGGTTTGAGACAGTTTATACAGACATATGATGACTTTTTTCTTCCTTTCTGTTCACCGGAAGAGCAGCAGTATAAGGAACATTTGCCGTGGGATGAATCTGGACTGTCCGGACGAACTAAGATTTCGGTGCCCTCTTACAACACTTCCATAGTACCCAGTTTGATTTCAGCTATGCGCATGTTTCATCTTGTTCAAAGCCAAGCTCCTGGAATGAACCTGCTGAAGACGGGAAGTGCCAGGAAGCTAAACTCCTGTTTGTTTTGGAAGCAAAGCGCCAATGCATTCCAATTTTCATGGTAGGGAGGCAAATCTGGATGATGTTGTAAGGCTGGAGCTGCGTGCAAGTGTGGAGATGAGGGGACAGGTCTTCCTGCCAACCCAACTCCAGTTCTCCAAACTGCGTTTTATGGTAACAGCAGTGACATTAGGTCATCTTTAAAGACACACAATAGGGACATAAGCAGTAAGTGTTGATCTGATTCTAAAGCCTTCATTATAAGTGCAGCCTCTTAAAAGGGGGGCAGTGCTTTATATTACCTATAATGAATACAATAGTCTTCTGAGCACTTCCTTTCAGCTGCCTTACCCCATCTCAGAACTTAGCCCTTCACCCTCCCACCATAGTCAGCCCTAAAATGAACAATATCCTTTTCTGACTCTGAGATTTTTGGTTTTGTTTTTTTTGTTTTTTTTTTTTTTGTCTTAGTAAAGAGGAAATTCTGTCTAAGAAATGCCCTCAGATAGTACCCATTATTAGTACAGGCAAATAATTCAACATGGGAGGTAGGTCATTATAACTAAGGAAGATCCATGGATAACTACTCCAAACCTTAGGCTGTATTTTAAGGCTTCATGTCTGCTTTATGAGGTCAAATTCAGAGAGTGAAAAGACAAGGCTCTGCCTAAAGAACTCCAGCTCCAAAGGAGATTTTATTTTGCTTCTGTGTGTTAAAAGCTTTTTAGCTTGCAGGTTTTCCATTGTCCCCAAATGAAGACAGTAAAATATTTTCATGTGCTGTGTTAGTTAAAAACATCTTCCTGCCTTGTGTGTGACGTATATTGACCTTAGTATGGAATTGGTGCCCTGACTGAAATGTTGAAATGGTTACCAAGGGGTCCCAATTATTCTGTATATCTATCTTGAGTTACAGAAGGACCCATTGGAAAGAAAATTCCATGTGAGATGTGGAGGAATTGTCTGGCAGAGGAACCGGAATCAGCCTCCCCAGGCATTGTGTCTCAGTGTCTCTGACCTCCGACCACTGCGTCCTTTCCCAAGGGCTGGGTCCCCGGAACGGCCTGCGGATGTGTCCTGCCTTCTCTCTCTCTCTCTGGTTTGTAAGCCGGCCCTCCTCACAAAAGCTCTTCTCTTTCCTGTGCAGTCGTAAGCCATTCTCGTATTCCTTCCAGGTCTGGCTCATTTCCAAGATCTTTCCTCACCTTTCCCGGCCCCTTCGCTGGCTCATCCAACTGGCTCTTTCCCACCTTCTCTGTGGGTCTCAGACATGGAACTCAGTAAGGAAATGGCAGTTCTAAAGTCAGGGAAGAGCACTGAGTAGTCCCTTGTGATATAGACAGCCCTTTGAATAGGCTGCTGGGGGAGGGAAAAAGTACCAGATGAAACATTTTACTTTGTTGCTCCTTCATAGGAAAGAGAGAAATAATATGTGAAAATCTCACCTTTCTCGGAAATGCTGATCTTGCACGAACACGCATATGCATGAACTAATAACATGAAGGATGGCGAAATATTTGACCTATCTAAAAGACAAAAAAAAAAAAAAAAATCCCCACATGGGTCAACCTGCAGCCTCCCCTATCCAACCATCACCAACCTCAGCTCCCTTTGCTTCTGCCACCCACCCACCAGTGAGGTGAGTGCCACATCCATCTGGATGTCCAATCAGTGATGCTCCTCTTCCTCTTCTTTATTGTCCATGCCAAAGACAAAGAATGCTTTGTAAGGTGTGATTAGGATTAGAGGAGCCCGAATAAAAGCCAGCCTGGCATTAAGGTTAACTGCCTCTATGATAATCTCCAAACATCCCGAGAGAGCCAGGTACCTTCCAACAGCTGTACAGGCCATAAATAAAGCTTTTCTGACTTTTATGCCTGTGTGGCCTCAATTATAAATGTCTCATTAACATCTTTTTTGCATAACCCATGAGAGATGAGTTGCTCTTCTGAGAACATTGTCCTTTTGTGGATTATACCTAAGTCACATGGAACCAGATTTTGACTTAAAGTTTTGAAAGCCCTTCGAATTGAGCAATTTCTTGGAATATTGGGGTAACTGCAAAAGAAGGGGATGGGTGGAGAGCCTGGTGGTTAGGCAAGGAGCCAAGAAAGAAGGTTCCCAAAGCCTGTAGTATCTACTCTCCACCCTGCTGGAAATACCATCTCTTTGCTAAATGTGTCCATGTAGTGAGCTATTGTCTTTCCCAAGTCTTAAAAGCTTGCAGACTTTAAAAAAAAAAAAAAAAAAAAAAAAAGCTTACAGTGCTTTAGAGCTGAGATGCACATGGGTTGTTTTTATACTACACAAATTAAAACAAGAATGAATACATGGGGAGAGCAAAGTTGGCTCTTGGAGCAGACTCTTGCTCCCACAATCATAAAGATCCAGACAGGTAGATCTATCACTTTAATTTAAAAATGAAAATCCCTTCAGAAAACTGGCAGTCGTTCAGCCCTGACCAAATGGATCCGAAAGCATTGTGATTTCTCCTGCAGTCAGCGGGCTCTGGCAGGGTCGCTGCGGGCAGGCCCACTCACGGACTGATTTGCAGCGGTCACCAGTGGACCAGCACTCGGGACTCCGAGAGTGGAAGGCAGTGGGGCCATCATGAGTACTTGAGAAGTACTGTGCCATCTGTGCTGCTTACATTACCTTGTTACTTTTTATTAAAAAAGAAAAAAAAACTATTATTTTCATAACTGGGTCTTGAACATGTTCCCCTTTATTGCTGTTGTAACAAATCCTTACAAAGCCAGTGATTTGCAGCCGCATTAAAGACCTTACAGTTCTGTAGAGGTTGGGCAGACAAGAAGGCATGAGAAGGGTTATGTTCCTGTCCGGAAGCTGTCAGAAAGATCATTTTCTTTCCTTCTCCAGCTTCTAGAAGCTACTCCTGGTTTTTGGTTCGTTGTCCCCTCCCTTTGTCTTCCAGGTCAGCAAAACTTGGCTGAGGTTTTGTCCAGTCACCCCCTCCCCCCGCCCCGACCTCTTCTGTCGTCCTCTTCCATTTATAAGGACTCAGATGATAGCTTGGCACCAACCCATGTGGATAATGCAGGGGAACCTCTGGTCTCCACAACAGCCAGTTCGAACCCTAAGCATCTGCAACCTCAGGTCTGCTTTGCTATGTAACGCCTGACTCCTAGGGATAAGGATGTGGACATAGTTGGGGAAATGAGCATTGTTCTTTAACACAGATAAAATCAGGGAATGGAGGGTTTGGGATCATTTAGCTACTTAGTAGCAGGGGAATGACTATCTCTGAGAGTCATGTCTAATCTGAAAATAAGAAATGCAAGAGGAAAAGATGAGAGAAAAACCAAATTGAGGGGGCATTTTTATATGAAGAAAACAGCCATTTACAATAAATGCTTTGCTGGTTATGATTCACTGATAAAGGAAGGGATATGTGCATTTACAAATGCCCTTAGCTGGTTCTGTTGCTCCCCCCTCCCCATCTGACCTATAAATAGTTTGAATAATTTGTACTTCAGCAAAGTACATTGGCTGCACTCAGGATGTTGGTCCTTCTGGTGTCATAAAGCACACCAGGGCAGAGAGACTGACCCCACAGCAGACCACACACAGCTACGGAGACCAGTATGAAGCTATCTGAATGTGCACACATGCACTGTACCAGAACACTTATCACAATGCAAGCTAAGCAAGTGGTGTTGTTCTATATAGCCATGGAATAGAGGATTGGAATCAATAAATGAAAGGTGCAAAGAGACAAGTTTCATGTCAAGTCAACCATTTCTAAGAGGCAAATAAAATAAAATAAGAGCCATCCAACAGAACGGTGCCTCAGAAACTATCAAACAGATGCTGTGGGACCTAGTGACCCCAACATTTAAAAACTACTTCATGTGTATTTTTGCTTGAGATCTTACCTTTTGCTTGTCTAGAAGTCATGTGCAAAGAGGGGGTAAAAACAAAACAATCTATTTAGTTTTCAGTAGTTCTTCTCTATCAGGTACAGTCCACAGCTCCTTCTCCTCAAACAAAATCAGAATATTTTAGAGGGAGATTTGAGATTCCCGCCCCCACCAACACACACACAAGGACATTGAGCTTCAGAATGTCCGAGCAATATGGAGTCATACAGCTGACCTCAGCAGAATTGGTGGGCAAAGGTCCTAACTTCCAGTTAGCAAGAGACGGGACAGCCACATGAAATGTGCGCTTACACCCTCTTTGGAGGCCTCCAGCTAGAATCTGGCGTGTGTTTTCTTGGAAACTCCAGCAAAGTAGCTTTTCCCACTACTGCCCAAGTAGATGACTGTCTTTGGTACATTTTAGGGGCTAGGTTAAATTAAAAAAAAAAAAAAAAAAAAAAAAAGCCTGTCTTTAAACATCTTCAAACTTCACTGCTCTATCAGAGACTCAGGGGAACTCATACCAAAAACTGATGGATACATTTCCACAGTGTAAGACCTCTCACCAGCGCCTGGAGCATCCTAAAGCAGAAAACCTCATTTCTAGGAAGTTTCCAGTCATCACACGACATAGTGGGCAGAGCCCTCAGAACCATGGAAAACATTAAGTTGTCCTTTCTAATTTTTTTTCTGCTGAAGATACTAAAAATTTGCACAAAATATAATAGTTTCTCATATAGCTTAGGGATGTTGACTCAACAACAGCTATCTTGGGAACCATCAGGTCTGGCTTAACAGGACAGCGTCCTAACCCTGGAAGCAGAGTGTTTTTCGGCATGGTTGCTAGAAGATTTTCTGTAGATTAGGCAGGACATCAAAACCTGCACCTTCCTCTTGCTTTTATCAGATTATGTTGGAAAATATTTGGTTTCCAAAAGGTTCCAAGCTCTGGATTGTGCAGGAAAGCCTCTTGTGTGCAACCGAGGTGGTCAGATTAAATATTTACATTCAATTCCTTATTTTGTCCCACTCTTAAGAAATGTTTGATCACAATGTATGTCTCAGTCTGCTGGTATTGTTGCAGAAGGGCTGTCTCTCTAACTTCAAGTTCACTTACCTCCAGGTGACTGCCTAATTCACCCTGAGAGTGGTACTAACTACTGTTTCCCCAGGAGAAACTCACGGGCTTCAGATCTCAAAGTCAAAGAGGAACTTCCCTCTTGGGATACCAATGGCATGACATGCGCCTGTCAGCCATGAGAAGAGCTAAGTAGGGTTCAACCATGGAGTGTCATCAAAAAGGATGCCCGTAAGGAACCTAATGGAATTCTCCTGGGAATCCGGGGTTATGCTAGAGATGGCACATCAGCCCCAACAGATTCTGGATGGAGCGAAGTCCCCAGACATATGGAGGGACACACCAACACAACCTGAGATTGGCTGGCAGTCCAGCAGGTGAAGAGCTGTTGTGTGGGTGAGAGAAAGCTATACCTTGGCCTCTGCAGGCCCAGGACATGATTTACTTTCTCTGCAGTTCTGTTGTCCCCCTGACATGTGGTATAAGCCATATGGGGACAGTGGCCTCATTCTTTATAAGGTAGAAGAATCAGGAGGTAGAGGTAAAGGGACTTCTGAAGCCTTAGGAGTCTGCTCTGCCCTATCGACAATTGAGATTATAGACTTCTCCCCTAAAAGAATGGGAGACCTAAATGGAAAGAGAGAAACGCTATGGGAGTCCTGTAAAAAAAAAAAAAAAAAAAAAAAAAAAAAAAAAAAAAAAAAACACTCATTAATTCTACTTCTGGGTACATATCCCAAATACTTAAAAGTAGAGTCTTGAGGACATAGCTGCATTCCCCTGGTCCTCGCAGGGTTAGTCACAATAGTCACCAGATAGAAGCAATTGGTTTCCAACTACAGATAAGTGGATAAACAAGATGTACAATATGTGTTCTGTAGAATATACTCAGCTTTAAAGGGAAGGAAATTTGAACATAGGCTACTATGGCATGGATGCACCTTGAAAACATGCTAAGTGAAATAAGCCAGTCACAAAAAGACAAGTCCTGTATATATTTACTTGTTCAAGGTAAAGTGTCAAGTTCAAAGAAATAGAAGGTAAAATCCTAATTGCCAGGGGCTAAAGGGGAAGAAGTGGGGAGTTATTTCATGGGTATAGAGTTTCAGTCTTGAAATGTAAAATGGTTCTAAAGGTTGGTTGCACAACATTGAGTGTGTGTGCGCGCACATATGCACATGTACGAGAGCATTGGTGTAGTGTTGCTATGTAGCCTAAGGAATCTGAAACTTGCTATGTAGCCCAGGCTGGCCTCAAATTTATATTCATCCTGCTTCCACCTCTCAAGTGTTGAGATTGTAGGCATGCACTACTTATTGCCAATGAACCATACACTGAAAATGGAAGATGGTAATTTTTTTTGTTTTGTGAGCTTTTCTAAACCAAAGTTTAAAATGACGTTACAAAAATTAAATTTTAAAAAGTTGGCAAACAGAACAGCCATCAAGCAAATTAGTGAGTGTTAACAAAAACCCTTGATCTTTATGAGTTGAGAACAATTCCCCTTTTGTTTCCCGGCTTTGAGAAATATTAGTCTACCAGGATTCTTTTGAGTGCTTGCCCTGAAAGATGCAGAGTGTGTTTCATCAAGTTATTCTGAAAGTTTGCAGCATATAAGAAATATAATAGTTGGGCTACAAATGTAGTTGTGCCCCCCCACCCTGTGTGTGTGTGTGTGTGTGTATGTGTGTCCTCTTTCCATGATCAAGCCTGAGGAACTGCACTAAAGAACACACACAGAGCTATGCTACACACCTACACACTGCTCTGTTTCTGCTGGGCTCTGTCTAGGAAGCCTGGGAAACTTGGTGTGTGAATGGACAATGATGGATGCATCAATCCACTTTTCTACACGTAGAGTTTCAGGTTCGTCCTCTCTAGGGCACCTCCCCCTGCCCCTCTCAGGCTGAACTAGAGCCTGCTCTATGCATCTACACTGTTCTGTACATCTGCTGCCTCCACATTTTTCACTCTGTTTCATAATTACTTGGGTAGTCTCTGGCCCACCAGTCCCTGAGCTCAAGAGTGGGGTTGTTTGACTACCAAAATAATGCCTAGCATATTAAGCATATGAGCTTATTCAGTAAATGTCATCTAGTGGTGCCTTGGTGATCACTTTTGCCCTTACAGGCTAAGGGTGACACATGGACTAATTCACATTCTGTTCTGGCCCCAATGTTGGGTTCACGATCAGGTGTCTTTGGGCTCCACCTTCGGCTTCCGTGACTTGCTTCATTTCAACAGTCACTCATCCTTTCCCTAAATATATGTGTGTGGTTTCTGCTTGGTTTGTTTGGGTTATACATGTCCTTATTAGTCATGTGTGGGCGTCCACGCCTCCATTATCTTCTGAACTTCTCAAGGACAGAGTCTCCAACACACTCTTTGTATCTTCTCAAAGCATTGCACACTGACACCATATTCATAAGCTATTCCTGTCTGGGGTGTGCCAGCATGTTGAAGTGCAGCCTTACACCTCCTCCACCTTTCTGCTCTGTCAGGACCTCAGTCACTTGCCGTCTTTTCCCCATGAATTAGCTCATTTCCCTGAATTCTTTAAGTGGTGGCTATTTGTTAGATTTTACGCTTTGAGGAGAAGTCTTTTCTTAGTGACATGCTAATGGTTAAGAACACTTTGCTTTCAAAGGATTCACTGACTTGTAGACAAAAACCATAGCAAGCTATTACAATCGAGCATCAGAAGTGGGGGAATGTAAATATATGTATAACTGAGTTGTCCACAGTGGGAGAGGGGCAGGACAGCTGTCTAAGAGACTGGAGTTGGAGAAAAGCCATCAAGAAAGCAAAATAGAAATATTCTCTGATTTCCTTCCACTGAAACCCTCACTGTGACCTTTAGTTTCTTCACATTTGTTCTATTTTTCTTCCACCCAGAATTTAAGTCTTGACTGCTAATGATTATTTTCACATGGCACTTCAGTTATGCCCTCCTTGTATATCTCATTATTTCCCTCCAGTGACTGACAGCCAGACCTGGGGCTTTGTGTGCCAGCTTCCATCCCTGGGAAGGACTGTGGAGGGGAAGCAGTATTTTAAAAAGATTCTAACAACTTGTTGGGTCAACAGAGTATCATTTAACCCATTAGTGAAGTCTGCTGCGGCTGTAAGGGTGTGGAGTTGTCGTCCTGATGCTGACATTCTGCTATTTCAGACAAATGCTGTAGTCTTGTTTCTTCATTTCTTCTCATCCAAAGTGTCCTATCCACTGAGCCAAAGCAGGCAGTATAGCTAGGTGACCGCTCTGTCTACACTGCATGGATCTAACATCATCATTCTTGCCACTTACAGGGGGAGCCTCTAGTCCCTTCCATCTCCATTCATGTGCAGGAGCCGAGTTGGTCCAGATTAAGATGGGAAGTCTATCAGGCACCTCCGTCCCTCCAGAGGTGGGGCCTGGAGTTTATCTTAGCTACCCACAGGCTTGCCGTCTGCTCTGCCTCATGTGAGCCCAGGGTGGCAGTTGAATTCCCAGGTTACATCATTTCTTATCTTTTGTCTGTTTCTTCTCTCTTGCTCACACACACTGGCCCATGAATGGTCTGAGCCACTGCCTCGGGTAACCTGTCTGTGCCTACGTTTGAACAGAACTTGCTTATTTCTACTCCCAGGAATGTAAGACTTACCAGGTCCCTCACTCCTGCTTCAGAATGGGTTCTGTCCCTAGATGAGCAGGTCACCCAGAATGGCACTGGAGATCATGGTATACCTCTTTTACTAGGCTAGATGTCAAAATAATTCCCTTCCTACTACTAGAATGTTCTAGTCTCTGCACGAGGCAGTCACATTGTCTGGACTCTTATGTGTAGAACCATTTATAACAGCCTAGAGACGACAACCAGTTCCCTACTTCTCTGACTTAGATTCTTTCCCCACAAGGCCCAGAATATCTTAGGCTTGAGCTGGGAATGCTAAATGACCACTTGCTAT